TAAGCAACCAAGACACAAAATATATATAAGAACTTTTTCATAAAGATCAATATATTATGCGCTTTCAGTTTTCCGGAAGTTGTTTATACGTCCTAGAGAATCATGATAGTCTTGTTACGTCTTGTGCATTTTCCGAGGACACATCATTCTTCGCTACAGGTCTTGAACTGTTATGACTCACATTATAACACAATATTATAAATTTGTATACAACTATCAAGTTGTTCTTGTATAAGTTGTTCATATTGCAAATTTTGTTTCTACAAATTTTACAAATTTTAAGTTTAACTAAAAATTCATTTAGAATTTATTTATCGTCACATTTTACAAAATCAGTATCATTTTATCATTAATAATAATTTTTTTTTAGGTGCATTGGATAAAACTGTGTTGGTTTGGAAGGTGCCGCAGCAGTTGGTGTCACAAAGTAATTTGATGGATAGCTTGAGAAACAAGAAGAAGAGGGTCAGCAATTAAACAAATCAAGATTTTACAAATTTAAATTATGCGAAATGAACGAAACATGCGTGCATAAGTTGAATAATATTTGATAAAATTTTGTTGTTTAGGTTGCGGATTGGAAACTATACGACACTTTGAAATGGTTGAACGACATTGAATTATCCAGACTGTCCAGGAAAGTGCTTGCTTTGGGACTGACAGGACGACATTTGCTATCCGTATCAGAAAATGAACTAATATCTCGGTTGGAACTTGATGATGACGAAGAGGTACAATACATAATATTATGATGACTTTATCCACCTCATTATATCGAACTCCTTATAAACTGAAAATCTTTATAGGCTATGGAAATATTAAAGAAACAATTATATTGGCTGAAGCGTGAAGATTGCAATGTTATGGAGAATATAGACGAGTCTGAGATTCCTCATGAATTTTTGTGTCCTATAACGCATGAGATAATGAAAGAACCTGTGCAATGCTCAGGTAAAAATATCATACAAAAATCGCTTTTTTATAAAAAATTATTTCGAAAAATTTGTCTTAATAAAATTAATTGTGTACAATTATTATTCTTAGATGGATTTACTTATGAAAGGGCAGCTATAAATGAATGGTTCCTATGTGGAAAATATACTAGTCCGATGACGAATGAGCCGTTACACGATACTTCTTTTACTCCAAATTTCGCTCTCAGAAACGCTATACTCACTCTACTTCATGGAGAAGGACCATAATAGTAATGGCATTTTACATTTTTATGAAAAAAAAAGAAAAAACAGAGCACGCGTTGATAACTTATGATACACAATAAGCAATTTTATTCTACAGTGCGTTAGACATTCAAAATTCAGTGGTTTTAATGCAATAAGATTCGTTCTCTTTACAAGAATCGAAAGAAATTTGAACATCGATCGGTATCTGCGGACCAATTACAGACATGTAAAAATATAAAAACTTACAATTAATAGATTAATAATATAATTTAATAAGATAATTTTCATAATTAAAAATAACCGCGAAAGGATACCGCGTGAAGCTGTTAGGAAAAAAGTTACAACTCTTGATCTTTTACTAATGATCGTTTCTATCGTTTAATTTTAATTTTAATCTCGGTTCAACTAATTTATCTCTTTCTCTAATTCTAAGAATTAGAAAAAGATGAAGAATTAGTTGAACCGAGATTAAAGTTAACATTGATAGAAACGTCTTATATTGATAGAAACGGGCATTTAAAAGAGTTTGAAATTGGAAATATTAGAGAAATCTTAGAGAGAACACATTTTAATAATAATTAAGTAACATTGTCACAACTTTTATCGAGAAGCGGTGTCTAAAAACCGCCGAGCGACATGTTATCGATATTGGGAAGCAATCTTTAGGAATGAATATTATCGAAGGATTTCCAAATATTCGATATAGCACGTGTACAATGCACGTAATAATCCAGATACCTGATGCAAAGCAACAAGTACAAGTTTACAAAAATTTATGGACAATCTTCGAGAGTTACAGATATATAGTGAAGGCGCTGGTCTAATATCTGATATTACAGAGTAGTCGAACATACATACATACATAATATACATGTAGTTAAAAACATATCGAGAATACACGGATTTTATATCGGTTCTAGGCATAAACAGAATTTACAAGTTATCGAATTCAGTCGAACATGGCGTGGGTTTTTATCGTTCTCTTTTACATTTCCATTCTAAAGTTTTTATAACTCAAGTAAGTCGCGTTTTCTCAATTAAAAATTCTTGTGTTATCGGATAAAAATTTTATGATTTTGTAGGTACAAGGCATTTTTAATATTAATATAAATATTACAGCTAATTTCGAGTCTAAGATTGCATTGATAGAGTTAATTTTGCATCAAAGAAGGATATAGGATTTAGGATTATTTAATGTCGAAGAAAATTATTTCCGTAGCTTTTTGACTATTTCTTTAGACACTAAATGGTCCTAAGATGATTTTCTGCTAGGATGCAAAGTTGCAAATATTTATCTTACAATTGTTGAAACTTTTAACTAATGAAAACCATTGAAAACTAAGTTTTCAATTTAGTATAAATATAAACAGTTTTGCGCGTTATAAACACATTTTAGAATGAATATATAGTAGTATAGAAATATTTGTGCCTAACGACGAGGAGTTATCATATTTCTCGAGATATTAAAAAAATATCTCGATTTTCTAATCTATAATATTATCATGTTTCATTAATACTTATTTTCTAAAGTATAACTTTATAATATATTACAGAAATACGTTTAACGTATATAACTTGCGTGTGATAAGAATGTTACTTTCTATTTGCAAATATTAAGCTGCAATATATTGATTGTTGATATATTTTATTTATTCATAATACTGACATCTAACAAAGAAAAATTTCGTTTTTAATATGTCAATTGTTATCGATAGCAAGCACAGAGTGTTTGTATATGCGTTATTATTAATTATAAATGCTATGGATTTTGTTATACACTTTTTAGAAATTGATATGAAATATAATTAGCTATAATCCTTTTATAATAATACTGTATTGACTCTTACAGTAGTCTTAAGTGTTATAAACAACAATTACAACATACGAAAAAACTGTATATAAAATTGTAACAGATGATAAGATATAAATGTGTATCGCTTGAAGGAACGTAAACCGTCGATTTCTCTTTCTAAGAAATCAGTCACAGGTGATTAAAAACTCAATCGTTTCTAATCAGCGTTTACGCACACAGGTTTTTACATGATTTCTACGAATTTTTAATCACTCATTACGAACACGGTTTTGTAATTGTGTGTCTTCAAATTGTCACTCGAATTCAAAGTCTGTATTTCTGTGATATAATTGAGAAATCGTTTCAAACTTGTTGTGTGTCGGAAGAATGCGATTTTTAATGTATCGCGATCGAGAATGACACGTTTAAAATCGCATTATCGAGAAAAGTCCGACGCAATCGAGCTTGAGCGTTTAAGCGATTTTACAGTTGTAAGCGTCATTTTTCTGTATAATTATATACAAATAATAAAATCGATACTATAATAATAATATCAATCGAAGCAGACAGTTGTGTATAAACAATCGGATTATATATAGATCATTTCTCTCTCTCTTATAGATTTTCCTTTTTATATATCTCCACTAATAATATATACTCGTAATTAATATTCAACCTACAAACATATTTTTTAATAAAAAAATAAATATCATTAAATTAACATGCAACAAGATTGTAATGTTATAGTATATCTTATATTATTACAATTAATTAATCTTTTTAAAAAATTATTGTAAAAAATATATCTCTCTTTATAAATATAATCTAACAGATGTAATCTGTTGTTAAAAACTTTATTAATTTCAACAAAATTCGTTATTATTAGAGAATAAAAAACTGATTTAATTTTACATTGAATTGTATTTCTGAAAAATAAAAAACTTTTGGCTTACAATTAATTCGTATTATGATTTTGATTTGAAATAAAAACAGTTTATACAACAGATTTCGTTGAATGTAATAAAAGTTTATTTAATGATATATATGTCGTTTTATTTATTAAATCCTGCGGAGTAAAAAGCTGATCTGATTCGCAATTGAGTTGATTGATTCCCAATTATTTGTACTAATACGACTAAAATTATCTGTACTATTTTTTGTCATTAACAATAAATTTTAAGTTTTAACATATAAATATTAAATAAGAAAAAAAGATTAAAAATGACGAATTAAATTATAGAAAAAATTTTTATTTTAGTAGATCAATTTATCAAACTTTAAATTTGCCTTGAGCAAATTTATCGAATTAATCGTCGATTAAGTTAATTTCGAAATAGCCTTCAAAGTAGTTCGAAGAGTTATTTCGAAATTTGAAAATCGCGTCAAATTTCAATTCGTTTCTAGGTAAAATTGCCAGATTTTTAGTGACTTTGGCATTGTATCACGCTGCACTCGCTACACCTGTGTCGCCAATTATAGTGCTAAAATAAATAGTCCAAAGTAGCTCCAAATCATTCATACTAAGCAGTATTATATATTAGCCTGTTAAGCAAAATTTGATTTGCAAACTTATAATTAAAGTCATCATTAGCTAACATTTGTCCATCAAGGCTGTGTTCGGGGAGCAACGCTATTTGTGTCATACTATCCTTGTTTCATGTTTAATGAACGATGAAGATAGAATGATACAAATAGCACTAATAGCGTCTCCTCGAACTCAGCCCAAGATGACACCTGAAATTGCGACAAATCACTAAATTGGCAACTGTGTAAATAAATTCTAGCTAACGTCAAAAGGTGGCTATCAGCCACCTATGTGGTATGTGGTTTAGCGTGCATCTCTCATGATCGTATGACCCGCGCCAATCGCGATTATGGCGCTTGCCACTCTTGCCAGATGAGAGGGGCAGTTTTACGCTGAGAACGGGTCGTTTGTTACGGACAACGTCCAACGATTTTCACGAGGTAAGGCACGACGGACGCGGGGCTCTCCCTGCCTCTCACAGACGTGTCGATGCCTCGTGCTATTAAGCTGTCCACCGTGAGCTGTCGCGAATCGCGAAGACGCGACGGCCGTCCTTTTCCTCCAGCCATACCTGAGTACAATAATAGATTTGGCTGGAACCTGCACAGAGCCTGATTAAATAAATAGTATTGTCTCCCTCTGTATCTCTCTCGGACTGTCGCCCCACCTCCCTTACGTCGCGATCTCGCGACGTAGATCTCCCTAAATTTTAGATCTCTCATTCGAATCAACCAGAAGAAAATCATCTTTCACCCTGCAATTTCGTGGCTTTTACAATCTTTTATCCTGTACGACGAGAGAATCGAATTGTTACGTGTCTGATTAATATTTAAGCTCCTCCGGAAGTTGAGGTAGGTCTATTGGACCCATTTTAAATCTCTTTGCCATAAATGTCAATTCAATTTTCTTTATGTTACATCTGCAAATTTGAATTATTTCTATTAAAATATACCTAGTATTGATTCTTTTTTATAAGAGTTTTGGTTCCATGAAATTAATTAGTGCTTTTTAATTAATAGCGAATTCAATTGGATGTACTCAGTATGCACTGGTACATATTGAGACTATATACAAATTGACGCAAAAATATTTAATATAAAAGAAACAACTTATACCTCGAACTGTTCAATATATAATTTACTGTTCTGTTAGATAAGGTATATATATATATATATATATATATATATATATATATATTTTACTTGTACATTTGGATTAAAAAATCAGTGTATTCACAACTTATTCATCAGTGCGCATTAATGCATTCAATCAAATTCGCTATTGCATACATTAAATGGATCTTATAGATTCAACATCAATAACTACAGATAAGTTTTTTAATCCACCGATTGATTAATTGCTTTATGCACAAATGCAACTTTGCTCTATAAAAACTGTATTTGCGCATAATGGGATTGAGCAATGATGAGTTAAAAAACTTTTTGCTATAGATTTTAACATTAGCTCTGGAGAGTTAATATTATTAAATTAGATGCGCATGAATGAATACAGATATGAACTTGTGTATTATGTAACAAAATATCCACTGCAATGTTCTAATCCTCTGCGAAAGAATAAGTTTGTACAAATTCAAAGACATCATGAAGATTTCATGTCTTTTAAGTTCATATATTTTGTTTGCTTAGATTTTCCTGCAAACTGGTGCTGTATTTTCTTTCTTATGCAGTCATTGAGACTTAATTCTGGTAATTTTTCCTTTTATAAAACCTAATGTTTCAATATGATGATCCTTTTTTTCTTACAGCAGGCAGAGACATGGAAGGTCAACAGTTCTGTTTACGGTGGCATAATTTTCAAAATACTCTCTTGAGCTCGTTGCCAAAGTTACTTGATGGTGGTCATCTGACAGACGTTACGCTCAGTGCCGGTGGTAGACATATTCATGCTCACAGAATTATACTCTCGGCTTGTAGTTATTACTTTAAAGAACTTTTTAAGGTATTTATACATATAAAACTATCTCAATCATGTTATGCAAACTATGAAAACTTCATGTCTTTTAAATCTATATATTTTGTTTGCTTATATTTTGCTGCCAATTGGTGTTTGTGTCTTTCTTAGACTTGATCTTAATCATTTTTTCTTTTATGAAACGTTTTGAGTAACATGTTGATCTATTATATTAATGTAATATACGAATTTTTTTACATTTTTTTTTAATTAGCTCTATTTTAATATTATATTATTTTCATGCTTCTTTACTTGTTTCTTTTTTTTATAAGTAATAATCTAATATCTTCAAAAATAAAACTATTTCGGATAGTTAATTTGATTGCTTGAATAAACTAAATGTAATGGATTTCTAAATTAATTCAAACTGTGATATTAAGTTAATATTGTGTCACTATTGTGTATGCGATCAAATATGTAGTTATCAGACTAATAGTAAGATAAGAATTTTATGAAAACATTTTTAGGACTTAAGCGTTTTGCAACATCCGGTCATTGTGCTGCCAGGCATGGAATATGCAAATTTATGTGCTCTGGTCAAATTTATGTATAATGGAGAAGTGAATATTTATCAAGAACAGTTACCTGCACTTTTAGCTATGGCTGATACATTGCACATTTGTGGATTAGCTGACATGGCTGGGGTAAGTGCTTAAACGATATTAAAAAGATGTACTTTAAAGAGTATTAGGAAAGCTTGTATTATGTAAAAAAATTATGCTATTCTCTGCATTTATATTGTATTTTCTGAATGTATTGTACATTTTCATTTTTAACTTGTATTTTATTTTTTATATCAACACTTTTGGCGTCATATAAAATATATAGTTCATGAAATTATTGTATATCAAGTTCTTTGTCTTAATATAACAAAAAATAATGATATACAAAATAATAAAATATTTAATTTGTTTATTTTAGGTGCACGTATTACGTACTAATTTTTTTTTATTAATTAATTTCCGAATTACAGTAACTATTTGTATCTGAGACATACAAATTATGAAAAAAAGATTTTCATTATTACTATTGAGTTTCCAAGTCAGATCGAGTGCAAGCTTGCTAATTGTGCATAAGAAATAAATAATCAAAGAACTAAATATATATAACAATTTTATATTATAATATATTCAGAAATAAAGACTACCATTTTCTTGTTATTAAATTAATGACGTGTTTTTTAGTACTTAAGGTAATTAGCATGAATAATATTTAATCTTTTTAATATGCTTGTCCTCAAATGAAAATTTTTAATTGCTTATAACAAAGCATGGATTTTTAAACGCCGTTGTACAGGAATATAACTCCTAACAGTTCTTACTATTCCTTACGAATATATACTAAATATTTTATTATTTTTTACACAAATATGTCTTTTGTAAATTTGCACAAAATAACTGTATTGTTGATACGCTCAACAATATAGCTGTATATAATATATAGTTATACAAAACTTATGCAACATTTTCTATTAATAAGTTGCACCATTTTAAACCACAATGCATTTTCCTTTCACATTTTTTCTCCTTTTTTTCATTAACATTGATATACAACTGTTTATGCATTGTAATATTTGATTAATAGTATCTGTATATTCAATATAGCTCATAAATAATATTGCTTCTTACAATTAATAGAATGTCAATATATTATTTTTCAATTTCTTTTTAAAACTGTAACACATTGCATATTATATCTATGATACAATATTTATATGCGATAGCAGTAAGTGTTGTAAGCATTTGTTAGAGTTGTAAACAAATCTCTCAATATCTCATTAAGTAAAATTTGTTTTATCTGGAAATCATGATAAATTCAATATGTACACATTATAGCTCATTGTACATGTATTGTAAACGCTATCCTTGGAATATTCATATTCAATATCAATATTAATATACTTAAAGAATACAAAATTGTCATAATATTGTCACGAATATATTTTTTCAAAAGGTCGCAGATAATTAATTTCTTTCGTACTTTAGCAGAACGGAGAACGAACCAAAATTCGCGTTCGCTTGTTTCCTCACTTAATGTTTTTATATTATCCTGATCGTGTTGTTTTGTTCAGGTTACTTAAACACATTCACTGTCGTTCCTCAAGAAGTACTTCACGAAGGAATTATACCGCTACACATATTATGTTCGTATATGCATCGAAGGAACGATAATGAATAAAAACGATATCCACGAGATCAAGATCGTTGTGTGTGTTGCAACTAAATGCAAGTGGATGCATCCCATGGAACCTTACCCCATAGAATGACTTTACAGGTATATCTAAAATAGCTTCTTCCATGAATCTCTAAATTACTAAAACTATATATTACCGAAGTTAAAACGGCGATTTTATACAACACTTATGTTTTTTTCCGCAGTACAATAATGCTTAACAGTTTAGTCAAGTGTGATGATAACAAACGTTTAGCACTAATTTCTTGATTCTAAAGATGTTATTAGCTAAAAGAAAAAAAAATGCATGGAAACCTACAGATAATTTTGGAAAATGATTTTCAGATATAGTCAAGGATTTTATGTGCTAAACTGTTAGAATTCAATGATAACTCTTGACTAAATAGTTTTATAAATAAAAAATTAGACATTTTATTAGGCATATTTAAGCCCAGTTCCACAACTCATGGTTAACTCTTAACCGAGATTCAACTTGTTTCTCATCTCTTTCCAATTCTAGAATTGGAAAAAGACAATGAATAAGTTGGACCTCGATTAAGAGTTAATCGTAAGTTGTGGAACTGGGCCTTAGTATTGTTTAATAAATGTTCATTTCTAGAACAATATTAATCAAAAAAACAAAAACAAATGTTTAAAAAATTATCATGCTAAATATCTTTAAGTAATATATTCTAATATTGATTTTAAATAAATACGAATAAATTGCACATAATAAATTATTAATGTGCAATGCATAATCTGTTGTATAATATATGTAGAATACACTTTATTTTCTTGAATTTTAAAAGATATATTTACCATATGTTACATTAATATTTATATTCGCAAAGTTAAAAAATACGTTTATTATATTATTAATTCGAAAGCAATTTGTATTTTTGTATAAATCTTTATAATAATAAATTTATTTATAATATTATTCTTGTAACTTAACATACTTTTAATATAGATGCATAAAAGCATATGACGCCGCATAGTTAATACACCTTTAAATTATATATTTTTTGTTGTGTTTAATAGTGCAATGTTTTTAATGAAAAATATGATAATTATTTAATATAATTTACATGGTTATGCGTGTCTTCTTATTTCAGAAAAATTCGAGACAGGATAACGACGTGTATGTGCAGTCGCCAGTAATGCAACCTCAGGAAAGACTGGACGAAGAGATAATAAAGACAGAGAAAGATAATGTAATAACTCCTGGATCATCAGAATCTGTATCATTGCCTAAAATGGATACTTTAGAGGATGAAGAGCCTAATAATGATCAAGAAAGTATACCGTATTGTGTGAAGACGAAGCCCTATTACTCTATAAACGCGAAGTTAAACCAAAGAGAAAAAATGTCTGTTCCTGTTAACGTATCTGTTAATAAGTATGTTGATAGAGGCTATTCGGAGAACATAGCGGACGAGACAGCGCCGATTATGGAGGATCAAGTCACTACAGAAGATGTAAAACCACCACCAGCTGTGTGGGATGCAAGTTTCAAGTTGCTTGCGGCATCCACACCTAGTAGAACTTCTCAGAGTTACAACAAATCCAGTGTCACTTGTCTTATTTGTGGTAAACAATTAAGTAATCAATATAACTTGCGAGTACACATGGAGACGCATAGTAATAGCTCTTATAGCTGCACATCCTGTTCACACGTGTCGCGATCACGAGACGCTCTCAGGAAACATGTGTCCTATAGGCACCCAGTAGCTTCTCCTCAGAAACGTCCACGATATAGTACGTCAAAACCATCAATAATGTGATGATAAAGTCACTATTGTGTTATTCTATATAGACATTTTAACCCTCGCTAGGATACCTTTCCATCAAAATATATTTTTTGTTAAAAATTATTTTTTTTTGTTAAATTACAAAAAAAAAGAAAGGGAAAAAATTGAAATGAAATTATTTCATTAATTAAAAATAATTAAACATTGTTCTAGATATGTTAGATTAGAGGATAATTTAGAATGATTACCTATGCCTATTTATGATAAATGATAGATTATGAACATAATTGAATTCGTAAGAGCAGCACTGGACTGATTAATAATAAGACAAATCGTAATAACATCTTCGTTTAAGGTGAGGTCCCACGGCCCGAGGTTCAGCATGGCTCGTCGCACGATTAGTCTCAAAATTGATATAAAAAAAGGCTAAAATTGCGGTCCTACGGCGCACTGTAGAAACAAAATGGCTCACTATAACTTGCGGCTCATCAGTTCGCGAAACTGTCGGTAAATTACGCGAGCAGAGCTCGCGCTTTGATTGAACGAAATAATTAACTACCGTTCGTTATTGCACCACTCAATTTCTCTATGCTTGCATATAAATGTGTGAGAGCTTGTTTATTATTGCTAGTCGAGACATTATAAGTGACTTTTTCTATAATGAAAAAATGTATATGAAATAACTTTGCAAGTATTGACCATGTTCAACAAAATATTTATTTTATTTTTACTACTGCTACTGTTGGAAGTTTTCTTTCGCGCTAATTTAATTATACGTTAGATCTTCTATAGTTCTATATCAGCAAAGAAAACTTTCAACATTTACAAAATAAGCATTCTGCTGAATACGATCATTGACGATCCAATAGCGTAAGATGCTTTATCGGTTCGTCTGCTCACAAAGACTTCTTTAACTCGCGAAACTTATGCCAATTTTTGAAAATGACGTGTCACGAGCTACAAATGGGGGATAACGAGCCATTCTGATTCCATGATAGATGTATAGGTTTTCCGAGCTATGGCGAGTCATGCCGAGCCACGGGCCATGGAACTCCATCTTTAAATGTACAAAGTGTGATCATGTTCCTGAAGACCTTTAGTGTTCGAATTGTTATCGCTTTCTTGTTATTGTTATATCGTTTTAATAAAGACAAGTTAGATAAATCGTGTGACTTAGTGAAAATGCAATATCTCTACATATGTGCAAAAATAAAACTGCAGCAATGAAAGAGCCGCAGAATCTTAGTTATATGGGATGTGAATTATTCTACTAATAAAGTCGATACAAAAGGTGCAAAAGACATTGCAATATAATTTTTTAATCATATATCAAGAATTGTATTAAAAAATAATATACAATATTTTTTTTGTAGACTACGAAATAAATAAAATGCCTCCAAAACTGAGTCCTTAGAAGTGGCAATAAATTCTTCCAAAAGTTAATTATATCTTTTCTATACGCCATATTTTAGTATTGCAGTCCTGTCCGACGGAGATTAATGTTTCTTCATCCAGCCAAACTAAACGTGTTATTTGACTCTGAGGATGAGCATCTGAAATATAAATGTTTATTAATTGCGATTCATTTACAAAAGGATATTTGCTATACTTACTTTTAATGATAGTATGTTTCGCTGGATTTGTCACACTCCAAATGATGATAGTGGTGTCAAGACTACCACTTGCAACCATGTCACAGTTTGGAGACCAAGCAACAGAGTTTACTCTTGCATTATGAAAACCCCATTCTCTATTATGTGCAAGCTGCAAATCAAATAAAAATAATTTAGATTTATATCCTAAAATTCTCTTTTCAAACGTATTTATATAATGGATATTTAATTCCATTTATATTACTCACCCTCTGTTAATCCAATAAGCACATAACAAGCCATTAATAGCAATTAATTCATTAATGAAAGCGTATATGTGTGTGTGTGTGTGTGTGTGTGTGTGTGTGTGTGTGTGTGTGTGTGTGTGTGTGTAATTATTTTATGCATAGCAAATATTGCTCCAACATAGTGCGTCACAATTAAATTTAGTGAATAAATGCTATAAGTATTTATCCATTAAATTTAGACGGAATTTTCTGTTAAGTTACTAACTCTTTATTACAATTATGTTGAATTATGGTATTAAAAAACAAAACTTTTTGAATTAAAAATTTTAAGTGTTATTACTATTCTTGCATTTCTAACACAGTATTACTGATAGCATATAACAAATACTCGATCATGCAAGACTTACTACATTTTTAATTGTACATAATTGAATCTAAATAATAAATTTAAATTATCCTTTATGTAAAGTACTTTACCTTATATTCTGGTACAGTATACAGTATAACTTTTCTGTTTGCATCACAAGCAACTAAATATTTATTATCAGGACTATACGAGGCATCCGTAACTGGACCCAGATGTTCTAGTTCAGTCTTTTGAGTTAATGTAGTGTCCGACAACTCATAAATATAAACCTACATTGTACAAAGCTTGATAATAGCATATGAATCAATTTTTTATATTTTTCGTATACTATAAGTAACAGACGAACTTTATTGTCAGATGTGGATCCAACAGCTACATTTCCGATTTCTTGATTAATTGATACGCACGATGGCTCATAATCGATTGATAAACTGGACAGCTTTTTGCCATCTTGTGTAACTGCGATCTGCAAAATATAATATCAATGGTAACATCATTATTACGCAAAATTTACAAGTGCGAAATGTCTACAAAGATGCTCATTTTTTAAAATACATTTTACAAGTCCTATAATAACGTAAAAAAATTATCCTTATTACGTTTTCAGCTAAGTTAATTTTAAGCTTGCTAAATATTTTGTTAAATTTACTGAATAAATTCGAAAAATCGAAAAAATTATCTTTGTAAACATTTTACATTCGATCTACCTGTCGAACTGAAGCCACCACAACTATATCGTTATATATATCCAATCCTCGTGGTTGCGAATCTAATTTTACCACACTGGTCTCTGCGTATGCATTCGTCGCAATATCGACTGACCTTAAAGTATCGTCAATGCCAGCGGTATAGAGCAAGTTACCCGTAGCCTTCATCCCGTTAATTTGATTACCATGACCGTGCCCTTGTACACGTTCATTTTCACCTGTCTCCGCATTCCAATTAGTGATATAGCCATCGTGAGAACCGGTGTAAATCGTACTTCTATCAGGACTTAATGTTAGCACCGTTATTGGTTTATTATGACCCTGAAAAAAAAAAATTAAATCAAAACTGATATAATGAAAAGAATATATTAAGAACAATTAAATTAGAACTTTAAAAAAGATTAATCAATCAGGAATAGGAATTACTTTTATTATCTTTATAGGCTTCTCAGGATTGTCGACATCAAGATAATTGATGAAGCCGCTAAGTGACACGGATAATAAATGTTTTCCTTGCCACAGACAGCTCACCTGGAACACAGATTATTTTAATACTTCTTTTAATGTTTACTTGCATACTGTGCCTTTCCGTGTATTTTTAAATTGATCTATAAGTTGCGAACTTGTTGATCGTCGACCGTCGTTCCCATGTTGAACTCCGTAATTAAAGAACGCGTTTCTACATCCCACAGTTTACAGGTTTTATCTCCGGAGGCGGTTAATAATTGCTTACTATCAGGCTTCCATGCAACCTGTAAATATAAATGTGTTATTCAATATTACATTTATTTTAAATAATATTTTAAATAATTTATAATCATATTCTTATATCACATCACATTACATTAAACGAATTAAATTACATACCCCATAGACTCCACCTTGATGTGCAGGGGATCCTATTTCTCCAACAAAATCAGAGGTTGTTCCATTATATAAAAACACTTTTCCATCGAATCCACCAGAAGCAAACAGATTTCCGTCAGGAGAATAACGTACAGTTTGAACGAAACGAGTATGTTCTTGCTTTGTCATCCTATATAAATAACATGAAGAATTAAAATTCTCACTTTCAACAGAATATAGACTATAAATATTTTGCGTATGTGTACATACTTGAATTTGAATGGAGGGCCTTCGAATATTCCAATAGTGTTATCTTCACTTCCAGTTATTAATCTAAATGGTCTAGCCGGTCTAAAATCACATGAGTTGATAGATTTACTTTGACCAGAGATCTCACCCACCGACGTCCCTGTTTCTGCCATAAAGACATGTCCAAATCTAAACATAAATTATTAATATGTCAATATTACTTCTTTAACGATCTATCTCAATTCTTTAATAATATATCTTACTTCTTCTACGCATTCTAGTGAGTAAAGTATACCTTTCTCTTCCTTCTCCGACCACGACCATGCGCTGACTATCCGGTGACCAAGCAATATCTTTGATAGGTCCGCCAATAGGATGGAATTCATTTTTTAATATATGTTCCTTGTTAACTGTATCCCAAATACGTACTTTACCCGACTGATCTGAAATAAAATCATACTATATCTCGTCTACGCGTGATACAGATTATTAAAGCCATCTATTGGAAAAATAATGGATTTCTTTTTACTACACTTAATATAAAAATCTCAATGAAAAAGTGATAACGCAAAATTATCAAAGATTACAAATATTAAATATTATGCACCATGTTATTTATGGATGATAATTTCCATGTAAAGATAATGTACATATATATATATACATAATATTCAAATAATTCAACATCCCGATAAAATTAAATATTACAATTAAAGTATACCTCCCGAAGCTATGTAAAAACCACTAGGAGAATATTTGGCAACATTCACAGGGCAAGAATGTTCTGTATAAACATCTGCAATTGCTGGATTCTGCAATGTTCCGAGATACGGAAATTAGTGCGTCCGTCTGTTATTAGAAGCATTTATTGCAATATAAAAACTCACGTCAATATTTCTAATGATAACACTGTTACCATTGGTATATAAAAAGTTCTTTCCTTTGGGATCGCCGCCTAATACAAGAGGTTGTCCTCTTTGGGTCCTTGGTAATGCAGCAAATATATATTCTATAATATAAAAAAGCAGAAGCTATAAAATAAAGAAACAAAAACATCTTCAAATTAAAATTAAATATCCATAAATAAATTAAAACTAAATATCCAGATCTGAATATCAATAATTTATTTCCCACCAGCACATACATTGTAAATTTATAATACTAAAATAAGCAGCAAAATATATAATTTATATATAGATTTTTTCAAAACTGCATAACAAATAAATTTTTTAATATAATCATTTTAATAATAGATACATTATTTTATACTCCATATTATTTTTCATAAAAAATTGTACGTGCATATCATTTGCTCTACAATCATTTATTTATATGATATACTATTCATAATAAATAAATTCATACTATTAAACAAAATAACCTCAAAATTAGGAAAATATTGTCAAACGCGCAAAAGAGATCAAATATCACGCGAACAACGCATAATGCATCCAGGTGCTGGAACCAAAATACTCTTCCTTGATACATTGGCATGAGTCCAGCTTCTAATATTTCGAATTATTTTAAGCGCTAACAAGCTACAGTATATCCTGCATCATACATGGATATAATTCCGGATGTAATATTGTTTAAAGAATTTTATACACGTATTAATAAGATAATTTGCAAAAAAAATTATTTTAAGTAATATTGTACAGCATATTATTTTAAATATAACAATAATAATTTTTTATTTCTCCCTTTCTCTTTTCTTCAAATATTTCCCGTGATAAATACAAAAGATTTACGATTTATTATTATATGGCTTTTTGCTAGTATAAATATTATAAATATTTAATAATAATTACTATAAAAAATAATTTATTCTTTTTTCTTTTATGATTTTCTTCACTCTGACAAGAACATAATATATATAAAGTATATAAATCTTATCTAAAATCTTATCAAACTTGGACATTCAATGTTTGTGATTCATTCTTCCTTTTTCTAGCGTGACTATATACAGGATGTATCAAAAGTCTCGACATATTTTTCTTCACTTTTTACAAAAATTCGATTAGAGAGAACCAAATCTTTCTTAATAATTTAAAAATTTTTAATATAAAATTTAATAACGAAAAAATTAAAAAATGAAGGCTCCAAAAATAAGAACCATTCAAAATTAAACAATAATTTTATTATTCCTTTGCATCGAGCACTAAGTACATTTAAATTTTCATTTCTTTCGTGAAAGACTTGCCGATATTCTCGCTAAACGAAACATTTACTCCAAATCACCTAGAAGAAATGTTTGGAGTAAGAACGCCAATAGCTTTTGAACACCCTGTATAT